TCGCAAGAAACAATCACGACTTAAAGCTACCATTATCCAAACTTAAAAATCTACCATCCAAAATTCATGTGCGCAATTTATTAATATCAATTTTGATTTTCGAGCAATTTGAAGCCGGTACTGCGGTTTGTATTGATCCTGCAGGATGTATAGTTACATATTCTCATTGCATTAGCGAGAGCGAAGAAGAATGGAAATCCAAACCACAACAATGACTTTTTATTATACTGGTCTTGCAATCGATCGAATGTCGTGTTTGGGATCAAAAATGTGATTTGGCGCCCTGGAAAGTTGTGACGATGGAAATTGGTGATGATTTATTGGGGATAGTATCCCAGAATTTTCATTGTGGAATTGGCAGTACAGCTTCCGGATCATGGGATATGCATTATATGTATTGAACATCCGGGAGGCGATGATTTGGAATCTCCGGATAATTGAAAGATAAAGTATATTCTTGTTGAGGTAGGTATCGAAAGGATCTTTTTGTGGGATGAGATAGGGATAGAATCAGCATGAGAATTCAGAGATTGGAAGCTTGAAATTTGATGCGTGGATTTATGGGGATATTCGAGGTATCTTGATGAGAGCTGATGATGGTTTGTTAATTGGATTGTATTCTTCGTGGGATGAGAATAGGGTGATGAGATATGGTATTTCGTTAGTGGCGATGAGGAGGTTTTTGGAAGAATGTTTGCGTGCGATGGGTTTTGGAGGGATGGAAAATTGATGATTAAGTATCTGGTAGATTGACGTGAAGTTGATATGAAATTTCTATGTTTGATGAGTAGACATTATCTAGGGAATGGACACCATGAATACCTACTACGTTAATGTTCAAGTGAACAACCTCGAAACTCCCTCCAGAGAAATCTCAGAAATTGCACTAGTAGGTATTCTTTGATTTTTGCGTCTCGAGGTGCTACATATTGCGCACTTCTTGCGAAAGTTTGCATCTGGTAAGCTGGCTATTTCGGAAATCGATTTTAGGGGTCAGAGTTCATGTTGACTCGCTTCAACTGGCTACTTGGGGTGATATCATTGTTTGATTGAAATATATACCTATCTTTCCTTGAGATTCTACGATTTTTCATGTACTGTAATAATTATTTAAATACTAAAAATTAAAATGATAACAATCCTAATTAATCTAACAATATACATCATAACTCCCATTAAGTGCCTAGGTAGGTATCGACAGCCATAAAAAACAAGTCAAAAAATCTCGAGACAAAAATGTATAGTACTAAATACCTATCTAAATATCAAATCCGGATTACTATTCCTCAAGCGAGCAAAATCTATTCCTCTCGAAAACTGGCTATCAGTGATTATTTATTCATCTTCGATTCTAGGAGTATTTTTATATTTTTATAATTTTTATTAATATGTTTGGAATTGAGATGGATGAGTTAGGTATGTATATATATATATGTGAATATATATTCTCTCTGTGGTTTAGTTAATATATGTAGACATGTTAATAAACGGATTTACTGCTTTGGAATGAAAGGGGTGGTTTGATGGATTTGTTATATGTAGAGATGGAGAGATGGAAGGGGAGAAATTTGGGGTAAAGATGAATGAGGATGAGAATGAGGATGGGGAAATGGGGAAATGAGAGTTATAGGTGGTTTGTGATTTATAATGTAAATTAATAATTTCCCTGACAGTTATGGTTATAAATTATATATGGAGAGATATTCTAAGAAATGTAATAGTGTTTGAGGAATTCTTGAGATTGTGGAAAGGGTTTTGGAGGTAGGTAGGTATAGTTAGGTAGTTTAGAAGGAGGGAAGAGAGGAGAAGACGTAATAGGATTTGATGAGATTTGATAAAAGAGTATATTCTTAAAAAAGATAGTGAGTTTGATTTTATTATTATCATTCCTGTTATCACCATCATTCTCATTCCTAAACGCTCCAAATCAAATCAAATCATCAATTCAACAAATACAAGTCGATATTTAATCTCTAGCTCAAAATCTTGTACTAGGTATGGGATCTAGATTTACTGCAATGTGTTTCATGCATTAATTGTTTTTTTGGTTTTTGGTTTGATAGAGCCTTTTGATTGCGTATTTTATTTCTCCTGGTATCTTTCGAAGACATGGGATAGGGGGTTTCTGGTTTTGCTGGGAATGAGATGGGGATAGATATGGATATAAAAGGGGTGGAATCTATTGCTTTTGGTTCTGTGTATAGATGAATGATATGGCGTATTGTTAGGATAGGTTGTGGATTTCTGTAAGGTGATTGAGATACATGAAATTCTTCAATGCTGCGAGGTATCAGGGGATGGATTGGAAGACGATCTAGACTTAGGGCAGAGCAAAGTGAAATTGCGTTTTCTGTGTTATTGTTGTGGTTTTGATTTCGTCTGATGGTGGGTTTTTATTAGCTACAGTATATATTGTTACTATCATTGATACTATGACTATTAATTCTTCCTCGTCGAAACAATAAGCCTCAAAGTCCACGAGATATGTAAATACATCTGAGCCGGTGCTTCTGATCTCAAGCACAATTCTATTCCTAGATTGAGAAGTTCTTTCCAGGAACATTTTATGTAATGGTTTAGGTAAGGAATACTCGCGGTTATGAGGAACACTTTTCAGTGGACTATCTATGTGAAATCACAGACTGCGAAAGTAAGCAGACTAGTAAGAGCCCGTTCGGATCGACTTTTTTGACGATATTGATAACAAATGTAGCCTAAATAAGCATTTACCGAATGCAAACTGGAAAATTTACTGGAAAAGAGAAAGTTGGCAAGAGCTCGCGGTACTTGTGGAAAGAGAGCATGCATTTTCATACTTGTGATTTTTAGATCAGATGATGGTGGATTATATTATTGTCAATACTCTCGCTTGTGCTAATTCTCGACGATAATTTTATTGTCATTGAGATCTTTCACGTGTGTGTTGATAAGTATGAGATGATAGCGAAAACCATGCGAGAATCTTTGTTTTGTCTTCCATGATTCTGTCAAGAATTGTGGAATAGATCTGCGAATTTCTGACGGGACAGAGTTCGGTACTGACACATAGACCGCCTTCTCAATAGTAGCCAAATTAATTGGAGTTGATTATCTGGATCGAAATCCCTCTTAAATAGGTAGCGACTGATAATATATTTCTCAAGTCTAGGTTCTGTGAAGTGGAATTCACCATCTCATTTTGATTTACTGATTGATATCGGGCTATCTACAATATCCATCGCTTATTTACCCCCCTTCGCCTCATCAATAAACCAGATCATTCAATATACGCTAAGGCTCAGATATTCCAGTGAATCATAAGCCATTCAAACTCAACTAAAATATCAATTCATCTATCAACATAAATACCTCTCTATATCTCTCCTACTCCTCCATATCCCTCCTACTCCACTCCGAGCACACCCTCTAGGCAAAGTTTGGAAAAGAAGAGTGTATGTGCACAGGGCGGCCTTGATAGAACTATCTTGCAACTGAATTATGCGTTTTGCCATCAGTTTGGTGGGAGTAATTTTGTCAGATCCTGGGGTTTTTGCGTGTCTGGCTGGCTGATATTTAGTATCTTGCTAGTGTGAAAAATTGGCAGAGATGTGATGAGGTAGATTTTTGTTGTCGTTTGATGGATATTTTTTTGTTGTTATCGATGAGTATGAGTGCTGTTATATCGTCTCTTGAAATATGATGTGCGAAAACATCTCCCCTCTATTTGATACTGAGAATATCTAATCAGAAACAGCTGTAGAGAAACGGATAGTATGTCTTACTAAGATGCCATCGCGCGAGATTTCTGCTTCCGCACTTGATTTTTAGTGAACAGTCTCTAGAAAGTAGACGATCTATATATAGCCAGCCTATAATTCCATAATAGCGGGTTATAGTGTAGATGCTAGAACATCTCTCGATCCACTGGATAGAGGGTGATTCTCGCAGTAAAAGAATCCTCATAGCCCAGCATATCACATTGAGCCTTTGAAGATAGTGAATGACACCCTTTACTTTGCTCTTTCTTCAAGATTCAATTCATACTACATAAATAGAGGCAAAGAGTATTGAGGATTAGCTACAAGAACATCAACTTGATACAACTCGCTACCGAGGAAAATCTGATTCGTGGATGGCATATAGATGGTTCAACGACCATTCTCTCCTTATGTCATGAAATTATCCCGGGTAAAGAAGGAACTTTCAATAACATCTCATATTTGACAGTCACGCTGTTAAACTTAATGAAATCTTATTTTCATTGTCAAAAAACTTACCACTGACTCTCAAAATCCCAGACTCGATTCTCCTCCTACTCCCAACAGTATCGCCATCTTCAAGTTTATAACACAATAGATCTCCAAATCGCAATAAGAGAGTCTACTCGGATATTTCTTCACTTCAGAATCTTTCCTGAGTCGGTCGTGTTTACCTGGTTTACGGTTTATGGATTACCTATGAAGGGATGCGGAGGGGTTATATGTTCTCTCCTCTTGTCCTCGTGACCATGGAGTTATTCATACGTATTGATCAGACAAGAGGAGGGCCAAGAAGGATTTGCTGTTCACAGAATATCGACGGTGCGAAAACGATTAAACTAGAATGAATCTTACATCCCACATCTTGAAGTCCAGACTCTCTGTATGGAGGCATATAAGCTGTATACTTTTCTCTCCTTTTCATAAACATTATGAGATATCCTAAGAGAATATGGACTTATGGGGAATACAATAGCCAAGTCTCCGCTCCTCACAACTGCTTTTCTCTGCTTTAACATCTTGAAGAGAAAGGGGGATATTGGTATACTAGATGTGGAGTTCAAGTATAGCGATAATGATATGACTAGATGAGTTGACAATAAAGAAATACTACTCATCGCTGTCTTCGATGTATGTTCATCGTTACAAAAAGTTGAGATAATAGTAAGTCAAGCTGTCAAACTTACACTAGAAACATGCTAAAACTTGAAATATCTTCCAAACGATAATCAAAATTGAAAAAAGAAACATTACTTTAACAATATGACACCAGCAAGCACATTTCTTGGCCTAGTAGATCAACTTGATTGTATCACCAGAAAGGGAGGATATAAGAATATCCAAGACAGTTATGACAAGCGAGGAGTCTTTTTCAGCCATCTTGATAGGCTCATTGAAGTCATCAGTCATTCTGGCAAGATTGACGATCTCATAATCAAGTCGAAAAAACAAGATTCTTTCCCCTTAACTGGCTTTAGCCGGTATACCTTATTCCAGGTCTTGTTTCATGGTGCGACTTTGTCGACTGCCGCAGAAGAAGCCTGTGACCACATCGATGTGACGCGCACTCGGTGCTATAAAATCAGAACTGCCGATGGCAGAGAGTTTGCATCGCGAAGGAGTGCCCCACCCAGTAGCGATAGCGATGGCAGTTTGAGCGACAGCGATTCCAAGTCTAGTAGCGACGATGACGCAAATTTGAGCGAGTACGAGCCGTGACGTTCGAGGATGAGCAATTGCAGTCGATTGTTGGAGCCAGACGAGCAGTGCCTACTAGCATACAAGAAAGAGGGCAAGTCGCATCTTTGGCAAGTTCCCCGGCGGGACTCGGCCCGTGATACATACACATTGGAATATGTTCTCGCCCCGAGGTAAATAAGATTGGTTCCCATAGGCGAATAGACAACAGCTCAAGCTCTGTGCCATCTTATACCTTGGTATATGCTGGGACAAAGGACTGAAAGAATCTTGTTCAGTGGGTGTTAGTCTCCGTGCGCACGGCTAACCTTACAAGCGGCCAATTTCTCTGGTGAAATCCCTCTTATTATGTATGAAAATATCAAACTCATTATTTATACTACAAAGAATAGTTCATGTTCCAAAATAACATTTATTCAGAGGTCATATATATGTTATACCGAAATGTAAACATTTATAATATATTACACTGTGCTGTATTCTTCTTAAGAAGTGGGGAGCTAGTAGATTCACTACTATTCTCAAGCTGTTTATACCCCCCCAAATGCGCTATCATATCAGAGGTGATACTCTGACAAACCTCACTGTATTTTGTCCAGTCTTTCTTAATTGCATTCTCAGCAAGATCTGTCTGAGGGAGCCATTGTGTATTCATCATTTCGCCAAGTGGGTCCACAAGCATCGTCTTCGTCTTTGCACAGATTTCGACTCCTCCTTTCTTTGCTGTTCTTGTTAGCGTCTCTTATTCTGTGCCATCGAGAGTCATACAGGGCGTACCATCAGTCAAGACCCGAGTTCTCTTTTCAACTTTCTCCAGCGCTGTTTTAATCTCAGTTGCGCTCATAACAATCTGGCCAAAAAGTTTCTCGGCAGCTGGATCTGATTCACCGGCCTTGCTCACGCCCTTCAATCGCTGCTCATCTTCGAGTCTCTTGGTTTCGATACTCTTTACTAAGTCCGCAGCTTTCGTCAAATTTGATATCATAGACAACGTACACTCTCCTATCAGGATTTTTGATCCCGACGAGCGATTTGCCGGAATAAACTCTCTGTATCGCCGAACTTCACCCTGTGATCTAGAGAGATTCATCTTTCTGTTTCGCAGAAATTATCGTAGATTGGGTGTGAGCAGTAACAATAAAATAATAATAGCGCACTCTCAAATCAGCCAGGAACAGGAAGTTTTCTAGGATATATCGATATATCGTCGCCAGGTAAGATAGTAATGAGGCTGCGGTCTCGTCGGTCCCACAGGTTGTTATCTGTCTCACCGCCTTTGGGTAAAACTGGATATAGGTGTTGTGTATTAGCACAATTTAGGACTTGTCGAAAGAGTGAATTCTTAGATCTTTTGAAATTATTGATCAAAAAAGTGATAATAATTGCTTAGTGATTACTTTGGAAATGTAAGGGTGTATATCTTATATCTCCTCAGAAACACTTATAATGCTTCTCAAAGGACCTCTTTTGATACTTTGGAAGAGGCAAAACAAAAATGTGCGGATGGAAGCATATAATTGGTGGCAGAACCAAGGCGGCTAGATATATCAGCCGCACGTAGTATCGATTGAAAGTCTAGAGTTTATAGTACTCAGAGCTTCCCAAAATGTCATCAGGGGATATCATAAAACCACTATCAAGCTCTGATCAGCTAACTAGCGATGAAAGAAATCCGACAGAGGACTCGAGAACTCTTGCAGAACCGAAAACTTCCGAAAATCGATATTGGGACCAGCTCGTGCAATACAATAATGGGCTGGGAAAAGACGAACTGTTATATCCCGAGTTTGCTGCATTACAACGCCTGAACACTATACATCTCCACAATATCCTGGCAGAGATAAAAGCAGAGATATGGCAGAAGAGAACAACATCGGAGGCACAGATGGTCAAGCTTAAGGAAACCATGCATGACTATGGTACTGGAATATTCCCAGATACAAACCCCCATATCTCCAGTTTCTGACATTCACAAGTAACAGCAATCCGAGATACTGAATATATGAGTAATCTCAGCCGCGTTCCGCCCTCCATCACCATGAACCACCGCATCTTCCTTGAACACGGCTTTCCAAGCATTGCTAATCGTGATGGCGCCCCTTACGATACAAATTACCTCTCGCTTTTGCACAAGATCCCTCTTGCCAGAGATGCCGTACGAGAGTTCTTGCGCAAATACTTGCACAAGAGGCTCTCATGGTCGACCACGGAGCAAAGCGCACGCCGGACTGATTTCTATAAGAATAGCCTCCCTGAGACCTACTCGCCATTCGTAGACTGGCTGGCCAGGTTCATCATTGCCGTTGGGGGCGGAGCGGCTCTCATTGTACCGATGCTTATTATGAGCATCGATGCGGGGAAAGTTAAGAGTCTCGTGACAGTATCGGTGGCTGTTATACTGTTTGCTCTAAGTGTTAGTCTAGGGTTTAAAATTGACAACAAGGATACACTTACAGCAACAGCGACCTACGCTGCTGTATTAGTAGTTTTTGTCGGAACAAATAATACTTGAGTTTGATTATCAGCTTTTTGCTTGGGTATATATGAATGTTCATCATAGTGTGCCGATCATGCTTGCAATCGAAAATCGACTCTATATGACGTCTGTTTGAGACAAATCGTAAAAACATCAACATTTTAATACAGATTGCTGGTTTTAGACATCCAAATCTCAATCTCTCAATCTCCTAATCTCTTAATTTGAAGTTTGATGATCGAATTTAGTTTAGTTTTCCCCCTTCAATATTATTTAATATAAAGATGTAATATTGTGGTTTTTGATTTAAAAATTGATATTTATGAGGTGAAACTTCGATATAGCATATTTCGAAGCTTGCTTAATATAATCTTGAAGTTTTAATCAATAATATAACAAATTGATTTATGAAATAGACTTTTAAAAATGTTGATTTTTGATGCGAAATTATGCTTCACTTATAGCGAGTCTCACGAATCTGTACACCCACTAGTGAATGTTGACGTCAAAGCATCCCATACGTCGATCGTGTAGCTCTTAACACTGATAGCCTTTCCGCTGGAATCCGATATCACGCCATCGTTCTTCTTGGCCGCAGGAGAGGCCTGTGATCACCTCTAATCCGCCTGGGTCCTACACATCTGTCGGATTAGGATTTCATGGACTACGGGAGAGACCACAGGAACCAGTCAGTTGTACGGCATATGCCTAAATAAGGGCATTCAAAGACTTGACCAGTCCCATGTAGTACAGGAGAGCATGCGTTTATAGTCAGGGCTCTCAACCCGTAGTTAGAAGAATCTGACTTGAATCAACCACTGCGCTGAACCACTTATTGAAGTGATTCTAGCGCCACGGTTGTAAGGTCAGCCTACAACATCCCTTTTTTCTCTCCTCAGCTACAACGCAGTGCACACTTGAATCGAAGAAATCGTCCTTATGAACCGTACAGTCTAATCGAATACTGTTAAATTTCTCAGGTCAGCCTGGTCCTTCGGCTGGTCTGTTGGGTGGAAAAAGTTGCTCTCGTGGTAAAGAGTGAGAGCAAGGAACTTTCTTTTCTCTTTCCCAATCGAACGAAAAGCATTTCATTTTTGTTACCTTTTATAAATGATGACTTCATAGAAGCTCTATTAGGAAGGCTAGATTGTGCTCACTCGTTTACGGTTCGCTAGTAAGGCACAGGTAAATAACCGATAAGGAGGAGTGGGGGTGGAGGAGGAAAAGCAGAACGAAGAGGCGTGGCGGTGGGAAAATCTCAAAGGGGAATATAGGAGGGATATTGGAAGAACGTTGCACGTTTGATCCAAATTAATTGAATTTTTTGAACATTTAGTACATTTGAAATTAAAGACTTCGAAAATGATGTTCGCACCCGTGATGTGCGAGGCGCAGTAAAAAGTTCATGTAGGAGCTCAGCCTCCATGATTGATTTAGAGTAGATAGCCATCTCCCTAAAACTGGCTGCTCGATACAGAGACGAAAAATGAAATCACAGAACTCCGACCGTTAGAATTCTTAAACCTTTGGTAATTAACAGATAATAACACGAGTCCCGGATCCCCCTATGCTACTAGCGCGGTGGCTCAGCAAACGAGATCAGCCAAATACTTGGTAAAAACTAGCTTCGCTTTACGATGTGAGATTTCGATCAAGCATACCAGGCAGACTTGGGGACAGAAGTTCTCACTATCTTTTATTATGTTCTGACAAGTTTGATCGGGGGCTACAAAGATTTTGCAATCTTCCTGGAACACAGTAGCTAAGTATCAAGAATCCATCAGACTCTGAGACTTTTAGAAGCTCTTTTTCTATCAGGTTGATTGTGCAAGAGATTCAAGACGTGCTCCAGCCTCACCTCGACAGTCCTAGACCTTCCATCTTTGTAATTGATACTATCTTTCGAAAAGTATCCTCGAGAGAAATTTGTCTTTATGTCTACCATCCTTGAAAACCTTAAAGAGCTTTAATGTGAATAAATATAACTGCACTTTGCAATTCCCTCCGTATCCACATCTCGATTCTCAATTCTCAATTTTCGCCTGTCTTGTACCTACCTATATAAAGTTATGTTTCCTTTCAGTTTAAGCCGTGATACGCTACCCACTGGACTCAAGAGTCCCAGGCCTAGGGCTGAAAAGATGTATTGAACACTGCACTCCTTGCGCGAAGTTAGCACGAGATGGAGATAGTTTTTTAATAATAGAGATGAAACCCTACAAACAGAAGCAAAATCGGAATGAATAGATAAATGACGTTTCGATTGTCTTTTCTATCCTCATTGTTAGTATCACGTCGTAACATCTAACGACGATGAAATCATAACGACAACAACACTTATATATCTTCATTTTCAGATAATCATCATAACCCCTCCCCTTTGGCAAAATTATCCAACTTAATCTCTCACTATCTTTCCTTCTTGCCCCCTCCCAAACTCAAAACGCACAACTGAATTCCCTTGCTCAGACATGTCTATTACGACTCCGATAATTGATGATCAATAAGGAAATCTCAAGAGTTTCTATACATAAATAATGAAAGCATAAAAGAATTGAAGAATTGAAGAATTGAAGAATTCAAGAATTCAAGAATCGATAATTAGAGAACCAATGAAGAAGTACAAAACGTAAATCAAAAAGGGATCCGATCAAAAAACATAAAATTGAATCATTCTCCCTACCTAGGCACTCAACAAAATCCAAACTTCAATATTTCCAACTTCAACCTCCACATCCACATCCACATCCACCTCAACCTCCAGATTCAAAAATCCCTCAAAAGAAAAAAAACCCCCGATACCCCTCTTTCTTTACTCTTCCACTCTCTTGGCTTCCGCTTCCTCTTCAAACCCCATCAAAATAACCAGATACTCAATAATTGCTTCAAATCCCAACCCACAAAACCCAACCCACGAAATGTAATCACAAAACCTCATTCATTCCAAACCACCCCCCAAAGAAATTACTCCTCAAACCTAAATCCCTAAGCCCAATTCTTCAAACTCCAATCCTCAAAAACAAAATATTATAAGTCAAATCATTCCTCCTTTCTCCTTCTTTCCTCCCCCCTCTAAAAAAATCTCTCAAACTCATTACTAACAAATCCTCTTCCCTCCTCTCCCTCTCCCTCCCCCCTCCCCCCTCTCCCCCCTCTCATCTACTCAAGCTAAACTCCTATCTCAAACATCTCCAACTTAAACAACTAATCGATAATCAACAATTAAATTAATCTATTCATTTATCAATTCATTCCTATATCTCCAACTCCAACTCTAAACTACTAAACTACTAAACTACTAAACTACTAAACTACTAAACTACTAACTACTAAACTACTAAACTACTAAACTACTAAACTACTAAACTACTAAACTACTAACTACTAAACTACTAAACTACTAAACTACTAAACTACTAAACTACTAAACTACTAAACTACTAAACTACTAAACTACTAAACTACTAAACTACTAAACTACTAAACTACTAAACTACTAAACTACTAAACTACTAAACTACTAACTACTAAACTACTAAACTACTAAACTACTAAACTACTAAACTATTAAACCTCAAATCTCAAATCCTAAATCTCAAATCGCTAACCATTAACTACTAACTACTAACTACTAATTACTAACTACTAATAAAATACAAATATAAACACAAATATCAATAAATAAAATCGAGAATCGAAGAATTACCTAATCAAGAAAGAAAGAAAGTCTCGCTTCACTTCCCATTCCATTCCATCATTTCATCATTCTATTATCATTCCATTCCATTCCATTCCAGACCCCTCATCTCCAAACTCCAAACTCCAAACTCAAAAATAAAACTCAATTCCGCATCCCGAGATTCCCGGTCCGGTTTTAAACACGTCATTTGGTATCTTTTAATAGTATCAATCACCTGTTTTGTTAGCTCATTTCCTTTCTTTTCTTTCTCCTGTGCTTTATTAGAATCTAAATCTAAATCAGAATAAATATAAAGACAAAAATCAAATCGCATTCACATAGACAATATCGAATCCCAGATCTTCAAATTTTATGAGTTGATATGACATTCATCCTCGAACGAGCGAAAGTCAAATATACATTCATTCCATCTCATCTCGATATAACCACGAAACGAAAGAAAATCTATCTATTTCTAGACTTTTGTCGATTTCTCATGTGTGATGTGTGTATGTATGTGACAATATGTAACCCAAGCAAAACAAGCAAAGTAAACTCCATCCCATCCATAATCATTTGTCATGTCATGTCAATCCATGACGACTCATGAAGATCCCAATCAAGTCAAGTCAGTAAGTCTGGTAACTAACTGCTCGTATCATGATTTCATAGTAACCCATCCATTCATACCAGTATCCATGTCCATTCATCCCATAACCGTATCCATAGCCCATATTCATATCATAACCCACCATCATCATCATCATCATCATCATTAAAACATCTACTCCTTAACTCTACCCAAAACCTTCTTCCCCGGTTGAAAGCCACTCTTTGTCTTCTCGGTAATCGAACCCGCAGAGTTTGTTTTTTGCAAAGCTAAGCGTGCCATTTCACCCTGATCTTGATCGGCGGGTTGAGAGAGACGTCGTGTGCGTTCTACACGGTAGGTTTTGGCAGGAAGATGCATGGATGCGAGAGCGGCTGCAAGACCGAGTGCTGAGGCTAGAGGGGAGTGTTAGTTTTGGGGTTTGAGGGTGAGGGGTATGGATGGAAGGGGGAGTGATGGAGGAAGGAAAGAGAAAGATAGAGATGAGGATGAAGAGGATATGTGTTGTTATGATCGTGATGATATGTTTATATGATATGAGATGAAACTCTTGAACATCAACAACAAAAGCGACACAACAACACATTCCAACTCACAAGTTCAACCCATCATATCAAAACAATCAACTCTTCGAAGAATAAAATGAAACTTACCACCAGCAGTAACAACTCCAGTAACAGCAACCATGATGAATGATTTATTATATGTGTTGTTTTGTAGATTCTGTGATTGATCGTGTTGTGATGTATTGGAGGCTTCAAGTGATGAATTTGAAGTTGATGTTGATGATACCGTTCTTGATGAATGATATCAAATCGATTGTGTAGTAAGGTATGTGAAGTATTTATCGTATTGAATTTGATCAACCGTGTATTGATTTGATTGTATTGTAATGTATCGCAATGTATTGTTCTTGATGTAATAAAAAGAAGAAGAAGAAGGCGAAAGCAAACATCCAAAGGAAGGAAGATACCTCCTCATAAGTACCTCCTCCCTTCTCAGCCCACACCATATCATATCATACCACCCCAAACCTCCTGTTTCAAGCCTGCGCATCTAACTGGTCCATCGTGCGGGGTAACACCAAGCCACTAATCCTCTTTGACCTTCGCTAATGACGCCGGAAATGCGTAATCTGGGGATTTATGCAGAATAGAGTGAGAAGCCCCACTTATTTACAAAGGGATATCCACTTAGCTTCGGGTGTTGAGGGAAGGATCTGGGGTAATTATGGGGATTGGCTGAGATGTCGTGTGAGATGATGTGGTGTGAGATGTTTGTTTTTTGGGCGATTTTGGATGTGGTTGGATTGGTAATTTGGGTTTGGATGGAGAGGAAATGGATGAGGGAATTTTTATATAGGATTGAGAAGGAGGGAAGGAGAGTTTGTGAAGTGTTTATTGCTTAGTTAAGTATTTGGTAAAGTAAGTGAGAAAATAAATGATAAGGACCTGAGTTACATTATTCATTTTCTCGTTTATTTACTAGGGATATATTCAATACTACCTACCAAAGTACCTACTGAAACATACCGCCTGTTCAACCACCACCAAGGTAATGATAAACCCCTCCATTCATTAGCGAAATGATCGCTCATCAATATCATCGCAATAGGAAGAATCCACATACCTAGGTATACATATACGAGGATATCTGTAACGTGATTTGATGGATCATGGCTGCAGAGTATTCACGCTTGGTGATACCTAGTATGAAGACATGTAAGGAAATGAAACTTGTTCGTTCGACTCATGAATCATGAGTAAGTGAGTTAATCACCTACCTAGATAAGTAAAGGCCGAGGGGTTTAATCAAAATAGAAGGATATGTACCGATACTGAATAGGTACATATATCCAAGTTGCTATTTTATTGATATTTCAGATAGTATACCGAGTATATAAATAGGTCTGATATTATATTGTATTACAGCACATATATCTAGTACTTATCTAGTATTCAAATCCTCTCAACCATCAAAAACAGTCCACGAATCTGGGGCCCCGCACACCCCTTTTCCTCAGTTTTTGTCTCACTCATACCTACCTACGATTACACACGCACACACGCACACACGCACACCCCCAGATCCCCTTCTTTTACTCTCTTTTCTTTCCTCCTATCCTTCTTTATTTTCTATTCCCATTTCATCATGCTCTTCATATACCTAGTCCCGCTGTCTTTCCTTCCAGATTTCCAGCTTTCCACTTCCCTCCCTTTCCTTCCAACTTTCCACCCACCACCCCAATTTCACCCACCCACTAACCTACCTACTCCATCCCATCCAATCCCCATCATTCCTTACCCCATACCATAATATCAACCCACAAACACAAACACACACCCCCTCTCCCTTACGTAAAGTAAACCCCCAAGCCAAACCAAACCAACCCAAACCCAAACTCCGCACAGTCACTTCCAAGCCCCCATACTTTTCGCTCCAAACTCTATTCCTCCCCATCCAATAACCACAAAATATCACACAGTAGATACCCAGCTTAGATAAACAGGATAAATTGCCGAGAAACCAAGTCCTGAGGATCATCTATGTAGGTACGGGCGTGACGGGGATATGTTACATGTGAGAGGAGGGGGGGCTGAGGGGGGGCTCAGGGAGAACTTGTTGCCTGTTTGGTTTTGAGTTTTGAGCTTGGGGATTGGGGATTGTAATGAGGGTTACGGACTCGTGTGTTTAATTCAATTTAATTTGAAGTCAATTCGAATATAAATATCAGTGAGTAAGTAAGTATTCATGGGTATTATTTTGGGCTTGGGTTTAGAATGAAATTTATGTATATATATATTACATAGCAATAGCCTCAAGTATTATTGTTTTATATATTATTATTGAATATTAAATATCAAATTTACAATTAAGGCGATCTCAATTAATACTTTATAATATTAAACAATTTTTCAATCTAATATATAATCTTTCAGAAAAAAAAAATTATGAATTATAATTTAAGAAATCGATTTATATATTTCTTTTTATGTGATTTTTATATGTTTCTAAATTTAAATAGGAATAATATACTTATTCTATTATTTAATATAAATAGAATTATATAAAACTAGATTTTTAGAATAGATTCTAGTATTTTAATATATTAATAATATTATTAAATGTCAGGATAGACATGAGAGTAATATATTTAGCTTTCTATATATATTAAATGTTATATTAATATCTCGATATGTATCAAAGTTTTAGGATAGTATACTATAGTATAATATTGCTTATACTACGAGATAGCGGCCGTTATATGACTAGACCTCGGCAGGCTCGACGCCTCAGACCACGTATATGACTCAATTATTTAATTATAGAGAAGTCGACCATGGCTCCTTCCTCTACACACGTTCACCAGTGACGAGAACCATTTATCAATGATCAAAATGGACCAGATCATTACTACTAGACAATATGACACGAGTGAGAGTATTGCCACGGTTCCCAACAGCCCAGAGACCGAGACTCGCCTACATTAATTGGCGATATGTAATTCAGACTCCAACACGACGTCTCAATTCCCTTGTCTTCCTATCATAGACTCGAAACTTGAACTTCTACATTTCCACCACGCGTTGTCGATATTTGGGTGCAGAAGAACCAACATTTTATCTGGTGATCAAAGAAGGCACAGTTCAACTCTGTTTTCATAGAAACCTATCGTAGACTCTGATACGTGGTATTTGTACTGGGAAGATCGCCTCCTTCCCGCATCTGCCTTCCGGAAACTCTCTCACATACACCAAAAACGACTTTGGAAGTGTAATATGTGTAAGAAATTGGTGACAAACTCTTCTATAAAGTTTGCGTTCTCCCCTCCTTCCTCAATACAATCGGACAATCCATAGCCCTCACTAAACATGGGCTTAAATAATTGTCTGTATGTGAGAAATTCGCTAAAGAGCTAAGTAGCCCAATATAACCATCAGGTCTTACAATAACGAGACCTGCATCCTGAGTCACACCATGTGTATTGGATAGCTTCTGACCAAGTGGACCATGAAATTTCATTTCCACAGACTCCTTCACACAGGTTGGAATATCTGTCCTTTCAAATGCCCGCTCTACAAAGAGATGTATCGCAACCAATTCCACCGTGCCCTTTGGGAATATTGGAATGATGTTGTTGCAAATTCCTACCAATGCCCGTGACGAGTTGCCATGCGGCTCTAGCAGGTGTCACGTTGTCAATACGAGAATGCGAAAACGTCCAGTGGAAAGGAAATCTGAAGTTAGAATTTGCATGGTTTATAAGGAATGAACAAAAAGAGAAGCATAAGGTTACATCTTGTAAGTGCCTCAGATATGAGTCCGCGTATCGTCTTATCATGGAAGCAAGTAGTCTGCTTCCAGGCTTTGGAGTTCCATGAAGATAATCATCGCTGGAAATTAGATGTCAGTTTTCTGTGCTGATTGCCTTGGCTATGATGCTCTGCGGATACTTGATTCTACAAACACTTGTGAAACCACTCCCATCGCTGAAGACTTTGAGGAATTGCTCCTGTGCCAGACCCTCAACAGAGCTATCAGAGACTATCTGTCCAGAAAATATCGAGGAAAACTTGGTGTCAAACTCAATAAGCATACGTGCAACTGTCATGAATTCGAATTCATATATTTTTAGAATGCTAGCTTCTGGCAGCCCAGGAGACAGGGCGTAGATCTCGTGGGCTAGTTTCCAGGTGAGGTTGTAGGAATCCATCATGGAAACGTTCATCTCCTGCCCAGTCTTTTGACTATGCGTATGACAGGCTTTCGCACGTTAGAAAGGGTTAATTTTATTGGAAGAGACAGGACTCACAGTCTGCAACGATTAAAGCTCGACTTCGCTCAGCATCGTCACTTATTGAAAAAGTGGGATTCATACGCTGCCCAATCTGATACGCTGCCTACCAATCGATCTATGTATTCTTTCTGATGGAAATCGTGCAAGGCAAAATACACGTTGTGTTTATGCTAGAATGAAATCAAGTGATTGCGGCTCGCCTGTTGCGAGTATTTTCCCGTACTACTGGATTACCCGGATCGGAGCTTTTTTGCAGGAATTTCGTCTTGATCTGCACATAAAGTCGAGCCAAGTACTGGCCAGTACTGATGCGCTCACGAGGAATGATCATGACGGATCCTGCATCAGAATGTATAGCATGGCGTTTTCGTAGATAAGGAAGCATTATGTCTGTAATAAAATATACGACGCCCCAAATATGGTCTGTTATTTCGCCTGTAAGCTCGAGTCCCATTGACTTCCGAATTTGTGAATGAGCACCAACCAGGCATTTACTCCGAACCGTTTTTTGTACTTTCTTCCCTTCGGCAGTTTACTATTCGAGGTAAATCTTCAAAGGGTATTCAGCATCACTAGCTGCATCCAGAACGAAGTCTACAAGCCTTGTCGATCGCTGGATATATTCCGTTGAGTACTGATTTAGGTTCTCTTCTAAAATTCGCTCAATGCGAACTTGGTGAATTGTGACTTCGTGTTTGCATCGCGAAGCAACCACGACATCTGGCGCGAAGGAGGTACGCTCAATAGCAGCTAATTTTCCTGTTGAAGTGTTGCTCTTTGTGCTCCAGAAAGCCACCTCTGACACATGGCATTCAGGTTAAGTGTTTCGTCCGCGACGTCCAAGCTCTTGAGAGCCCCCAAAGTCCGCGGCTGGAGCCCGTCAGCTTGTCCAGCTTTCAAAGTCCCCGGTTTAGAGTCTTAGAACATTAAAATGTCTCCCAGACTGTATCTTGCGAGTAACACTGTGAGCGTCATTCCAGCTGGCCCAGCCTGCGGGAATATAATCAGTTAATCTGGCTGTTAACTATGAACCTGGTACTCACTCCAATAACGACAACTTTGTATTTTTATGGCCACCGCTGGACTGAATAGGTCGAGAGCTGAGTCTAGACAAAGGCAGCTCAAGGGAAGGGAAGATTCGGAAGTCCCGAGATTCATCTGATTTCTTTTGAAAAACTGACAACTTCCGACGTGTGGCCAGAATCGTAGGATTAGAGCAGTCTTGTGAGCGGTATCTGAGATTTGAATGTCAATAACGAGTCAAAGTACAGTCAAGATGGGCTTTCACGAAAGAAGATTGAAGCAGCGCAAGCTAAATTGCTTGTTTACAAATTACCAATATTGGAGAGAATATGTGAAGCCGAGAAAGATGATCCAAGTTTTCGGGGAAGACTTCCCCGCCCTGAGCTTTCTTCCGTGTAACGTGTAAATTCGCTAGGGGGCTATTGTGCTATCCCAGTGACGTAGCAGCATCCCTGGGTCACGGATAATGCACCGGGGTGCACTTTCAACTTGCTTTGACTCCTATTTTCTTCCTAAAGCTTCGATATAAAATTCAATGGTGTATTTTGACTTCACATTGGGTACTTGCCTGGTATCTGTTGTCAGACATTACTCGTATTGAAGTGTCTACTAGGTAAGCTTATGAGTTGAATCACGTTACCTCTTCAAATACCAGAAATCATGAAAAGATTTGCATTACGCGCAGCAGTGAGGGTAAATGATTGACAGTACAGGAGTGTATAAAGAAGTATAATATAAAACTGACGCCAACTTATGAAACCTGATTACCTGTCCTGTCCTGTATCCCACCAACACGTGACTAGTTTCGGCAAATTGCGGAGAACAGATCCACAATGAGGCGGATGCAGTACCGGCAGTAGAGTACACTTTCCGGCTTTAGCGTCTTTCAACGTCCCCTTTCCGAAATAAATACCTTACCCTTACCTCATGTGCCTTGGAAACTTCCCTGCAGATGTGAAAGATGTCGAGGATGTATTGTTTGCCCCGGTTTTGAAAAGACGCCATTGGCAGTAAAAAAATGCAAAATGCCGAATGCCGGCTGTACGCATAGGTGAATTCTATCGGATCAGGGACAGAGTATTGGAAATAGTGGACGCTTTCCGATAATGGCGCGAACGGAACTGAGCTTGCACCTTCGACTGCAGCTTCCTGGTTGATATTCACGTGGCAATGCAATGTTTATATTAAAACAGATTGTCAAGAGACCGAAAATGTTCCCCAACCAACTTATTCAAGATGATCGATCCTTCAGATGTGGTCACCAATGCGAATCCTCAGAGTATTAAAGATGCGGCCATTGAGAATCTTCGCCCAGTCAGTGTAATCGTCATTGGAGCTGGCTTTTCTGGAATTTATTGCGGTGTTCGAATACCCGAGCGACTTCGCAATGTCAACCTAAAGATCTATGAGAAGAATGCTGGAGTGGGAGGAACATGGTACGAGAACAGATATCCAGGCTGTGCCTGCGATATTCCATGTTAGTAACGCATAAGTACGGCATTCTTTCCTCAAAACTAACGATTTCAAAAGCACACTCTTATCAGTATACTTTTGCTCCAAATCCAAATTGGAGCAGCTTTTATGCTCCTGCACCAGAAATTCGACAATATTTGGAAGATGTTGTCAAAAGGTTCTCGGTAGACAGGTTTATCAAATGTTTGCACGAAGTTATTGGTGCTCAATGGGACGACAAAAAGGCAAAATGGTACGCACACGCAAAGCAGTGCTTATTCTCATAATGCTGATCTATGTCCAGGAAGGTCCAAGTTAAGAACCTCGAGACAGGGGAGACTGTTACCGATGAGGCCGACGTTGTAATCAGTGCCCGGGGTACCTTGAACAACATATCCTGGCCAACAATCGAAGGACTGTCTGACATCAAGATTCCTGTAATGCATTCTGCAGCCTGGGACATGAAGTGTGTGCAAATTTTATTTTAAACTAAACTCTACTGACGTGTGATTCAGCTATGACTTCAAAAACAAACGAATTGGCATCATCGGAGGTGGTAGTAGCGCGATACAGATCATTCCTTCGCTGCAGAAAGTGCCTGGAGCACAGCTGAGTTGCTTTATCAGGAGCAAGACTTGGATCTCTAGGCCGTTTGGTGACATTGCAATGGAGAAACTTGGAATCAAAGAAACATACTGTAAAGTGACTTCAAAACATGACTACTCCACATACTAAGGCATTCTAGTCTCCGCAGAGCAGAAAGCTCGGTTTGCAAACGACCCAGAACACTATTTGGAGTTCCGGACAAAAATAGCACGTGACGCAAATTCGGCACACGCTTTGACATTGAAAGGCAGTAAATATTCAGAAGCAGCTAGAGATGATTTCACAGAACTCATGAAAGAAAGACTTGCAAAAAAGCCAGAGATTTTTAAGGCGCTCTTGCCCTCATTCAGTGTAGGCTGCCGAAGACTAACGCCAGGGCCTGGATATCTCGAAGCACTTGTAGAAGACAACGTCGATTTCATTGACACGCCTATTCTGAAAGCAAGCGCGAATGGTCTGATACTCAAGAGTGGTGAAGAAAGGGAACTGGACGTCCTTGTCTGTGCAACAGGTTTTCAAGCATCTGCACCCCCTGTTTTCCCGGTCATTGGAAGGAACGGCCAGTCCATGAAGGAGAAGTTTGAGCCATGGCCGGAGACTTATCTATCTCTGGCTACTGATGGATTTCCAAACTACTTTATGATGCTAGGACCCAATGCTGCGATTGGGACTGGCTCATTGACGGTAATGATGGAGATGACTGGCGACTACATCATCAAATGTATTCGCAAGATTCAGAAAGAAAATATCGCTAGAATGGAAGTACAAAAGCGAAGAGTCCAGGATTTCTCGAGGATCATTGATCACTATTTTCAAAAGACTGTCTACGTTGATGATTGTAGTAGTTGGTATCGGAGCAATGGAGGGAAGGGGGATCAGGTTACTGGTCTCTGGCCGGGAAGCACGTTGCACGCAATGGAATGTCTACGATCGCCAAGATGGGAAGATTTCGACTACGTATATGAAGGAGAGAATGACGGAGAAGAGTGCAATAGGTTAGCTTGGATTGGAAATGGCTGGTCTATCGTGCAGACTGATTCACAAGAGGGCGATCTGGCTCACTTCTTACAACCAGGCATGGTTAACATACCTGCCGAGCCATTTCCCGAGGAAACCAGCATATTCAAGATGAGGCCGTTTTCTTACTAGTTTTATGTTAAGTTTGTGTAGATTTATGGAAATAGAACTTGGAAAGATATATCCAGAAGCTCATCGTAAGATCTAGTGACATAAACGAGTTCCTCGATGTCCATGAGGTCAAGCTCCGACATACACTCAACGATCCGATTTCCTTCGAGTGATCGCTATCACCGGAAGCGGGGTAGTTATTACCGCGTCTAGAAGAACTTGTTCGGTTAATGACTTAGTATGCAGATATAAATAGCCCAGTGACACCTTGGTAGAACTTCTTCAGCTTTTCACTTTTACACTACCGTACGCATACGATTTCACCAAACAAAAATATGGCCACCTCCGACTATGATCAGCAATGGCTAGAGGTAGTATCTTTACCTTTCGTGATTTATGGTAGTGACTGATATATCCAGCTTGAAAATTCCTTTGGGTCTCGTCCTGCTTTCCGAGGAACTGTGTCGGATGTGCAGTCATTTTGCTCTTGGCCAATTCATCGGACCTCTGTTTCCGTCTCCTGATTCTTTATTGACGGTCAGGGATATAACTCTTGAATGTGGTCTAGTAAATAATAGTATCAAATGTTCTTTGTTATATAATATTATTTTGATTCGTATTAAGATCAAACTAATAGCATTATTGTAAATTAAAATATAAAGTTTAGGTGCTTTTAGCGAAGCATAGAAAAGTCACGTTTTGGAAGCTAGTTATGAAATTGCGTGTAGAACTTAAAATAATACCGATAGATTGCTAGTGACTTGCCTGTAAGTAATATTACAACAATTTTCTTCTTAAGGGTCCATAGCCTGGGTTCGTTGAGCTTGAACGACGTCATACCATCAGATTCTGTGTTGATTTATTTAATCAAAAGAGCTCAACATGCTATCTCTTTAATCGACCTGTTGAGCTGGATCGCTAGATATCCCACATAAGCTGCTCTAACCCGGAATAGTGGGTTTCCGGCTTTCCTGATAATATGGTGCTAGGATAGTGATGGGCTTTCCATTATTGATTTCCCTTCAAACACCTGGGGTTTAGGTTAGTACGTTAAGCGAAGGAATCCCTACAAAGCATTGGCACCGGATAGCGTCCAGAATGGTACTGTACCACTTCCGCCCCACTATCACGCACACGCAAAAGGAACGCTGTGCAGCCACGCCAACCTGGTCAGTCTCAAATTGCAATTTTCATCAGCCAGACAATGGGCCAAGAACAAACCGCATCAACTTGTTTTGTCTTGGCTTGGTTCAAGTTGAGGAACAGTGCCTTCCGAATTTCCGAATCGGCAAATAAATTGATCACTGCGGAAAATGATCGTTTTACAGGTGATGCTAGATTGTACATGGCAAAGGGAACGGACACTAGACATAAGATACAGATTCAAAGACCTTTTCCGGGAATTGTAACCTTTTTGAAGTCTCCTGTTGAATACTTCAAGCTTAAACAACGTTGTGTTTTAGAAACACAATTATTCCTGACAAGAGCTTTTGAAAAGTTTTTTCCTAAGTTGTAAGTTGTGTTGATAGTTCTAGAAGGCTCAAGTGAGTGATGACATGAGTCAATTCAACTAAAAGTCCGCTCTTGCGTCCTCGCCCACGTATGCTTTCCTGATAAATTCTCTAATGGCTCCTCTGTCAATCTTCCAAGGGTTGTAGTAAGAACTTTTGACGGCGAGATCGGCTGCCTTGTCAATATCATCCCCCTTGAACCCAAAGTCTGCAAGCCCACGTTTAACATCAAGCTTTCGCAATAACACATTAAGACCATGAATAGCATCCCTGTTGCTCTCAGACAGGATTTCTGGACGTCGCTTCATAATCTTCGGTATTGAAGGCGCGTTGTATGCTAGAATGTGAGGAAGAATGATGGTATGCGTTTCCGAATGTGGTAAATTGAAGCTTCTGTCTAATGTGTCCCAGAGCTTATGATGAAGTGCTATTCCAGCCTATCCAAAACAGAAGTCACTTGAGAATGCTCTGTATTGAACAGCTGTACGAGCATAAAGGTCTGAAGGTATATTCACAATGATGGGATTTGATCCTGCAAGAGACTTCACCCCTTCCAGCGCGAGGAGTGATGTTATCGGGTTTGCACTTTCGGCGTACAACGCCTCAACTTCGTTTTCTTAGCTATGTTATTATAATAAAGACAGGAGAATTTGTAATATTGAAATATTAATGCTATTAATTAAATTTCATTGAAATCTAATAAATCGAGTGTTTCAATTCCTTTATTAATATAGCTATATGAATATGACGATAACTTAATTAATTTATAATATATAATTATTTAAAAAAAACTGAGAGAAACTTGAAAAATAGTACGATTAATGCAGAGTATGTAAATATGATGTAGTCTAGTGATTTATATGTGTTTAGTGTTAAAAACAGGGCTAAAAGCGAGTATTTGAGGGTATATTTAACCTGACATCGGAGGGTCGGCGAAAGCTAGACTAGGTGCTTGCGGATACTCGGCAAAATCCACTCCAACCCAATCCGGGACACGCTATACTGAGGCCGATTTGAATCATTTGATATAAACCCCAAAAATAGATTTTTGCTTGAGCTAAATATATATTTAGAATTTAATAATGTATTTTTATACTAAAATATTTAACTCAATATACAACCTCAAAAAGATTATTAAAAGAAAAGGAAAAGAAAAAACCTTATTAATTAGAATTCAAGGAATCGATTAATAAATTTATTTCTGAAATATTTCAAAAATTGAAATTTTTATTTAATTTAAAAATGTTCTAATAAATTTGAATAATTATTAATTTTGAATATTAAAGCTTTTATTATTCAAATAATATTAAATTGAATATAAATTTCAATTTTCGAAATAATTTAAAAAAAAATATATTAATCGATTTTTTGAGTTCTAATTATTAATAATATTTCTTTTCTTTTTATTTCATTAATTCCTTTAATGTTGTATATTAAATTAAATACTTATATTAATATTATATATATTAATTGAGAATTATATTAGTTATATAATTTAAGTGAGATAAGGAATTTCTATTTATTAATTATATAGTTTAAACAGGATAAGTTCACGCTCGAGTTTGAGATAAGAAATTTCTATTTATTAATTATATAATTTAAACGAGATAAGTTCGAACTCGAACTTGAGATAAGGAATTATTACTAAACTTATTTTACTTATGTTAGAATGATTTATATACAAAAAGAAAAACTATTTGAAAATAGATTTTAAATATTAATACACTTCCTATAGAAAACTTCGAAATGGATTCTAAAAATAGAAAAATAAAGCTAACTCTAAAGACTATTCAATAATATAATTTATTTTATAAAAAGTTCTCAATAAAGTTGAGTTATATTTTTCTTTATAAGATTTCTATAAATATATTATATAGATTTTAAAATTTCTTTTTTCATTAGGTACAAATCTATTTTTGGGGTTTATGTCAAATGATTCAAATCGGCCTCAGTAGCTATCCACGGTCGAAGTAACAGCCATTCCATGTCCGCACATATCGCGAAATTTCCATGGAAACAAGAGCTTTCTAGCGAATCATTTCTGGTAAATCACAGCGCACCTGGCGATTTTGACTAATGCCGATCAAGTGCCGGTGTATAGAAGCACAGACCTGGTTGACGTTAAATCGCTGTTAATTCGGCCATGCACGAGGTAATTATGCTACGGGCGTTACGGGCAATGGCTTATCAGCTTTGTAAAGTTGACAGATGCGACTTCCTAGAGCTATTTCAAAACTCACATACATGCGTTAGGTACTTTGGTTGAGACAGTGAGCTTGTCTGTTCTGCCTATAGCGGCGCAGCATCTACCCCGCTCCCCCCGCAATTCTCGATGCAACGTAGCCAAATTTCCACCTAACACAAACACTTTCATACACCAGAAATGAATCTCAAAAGTGCCTGGCGCTTGTTGTTCCAAGATGCCGCGCAACAAGGTTGATCCACTCCGTCGAAGACGAGTAGCACAAGCATGTGACAGCTACAAGAGACGCAAGGGGAAGTGTAGTGGTGGTACTCCCTGCGGGCAGTGTAAATCCCGACATCGAGAAGAGGCTTGTCAGTATACAAAAACCCAGGCACCAGATGTTGCAAAGCCTCTTCTGTGCGAGGACAGAGGCAGCAGCAACCACAGCGCAAGGGAAGATCATCATGCACTGTGTGAGCTTGATGATCTCGCACCGTCTGAAACTCTCAATGAAGGCGACAATACGGTTTTGAATGCGGCGTCCAAGCCCAAAGTCTCCAGAATGCTACGTGACAGTAAGGGTAGATTCAGTATGTCTTGGTTCAACTCTAAATCAGGAGCTAAAGCGGTCAACGTTTGCTGACCATGTTTAGTTTATGTCGGCCAATCAGCCTCGTTGTCCTTTCTTCAGACTGTAAGGAGAGCTGTGATGGTTGCAGTGGGCCCTTGTGAATTCACTTCAGATTCCCTGCGTCACCTGATGATCGAAACCACGCCAGCGGTTCGTTTTGATAATGTCCACGAACCTCTACTCGATCTTGCTGAAGCTCTTTCTCTTGCAGATCAGTTCTTTCAAGCTGTAAGTGGTATCATGGACCTTTTCGACCCCTCATGGTTGTTAGATAAGCTGCCGACCTGGATCGAAGATTCTTCACGAAGAGAAAAGCTAGAGTCGCCCATCATTTATCTTGCACTCGCGATCGGGGCACAAGGAAGAGCTCGAGATGAATCAGACGAGATCATTGCCGAGAAGTGTTTTGGTTACGGTCGTCAAATTGCAACGTTTACACCTATGGATGATCCAAGTTTGTTGACGGTCCAGTCGTTCATCTTGATCACCTACTACATGCTTGCGGCATGCCGAAGCAACGGGGCTTTCACTAATTTAGGAGTGGCGGTCAGAGCTGCTTATGCTCTTGGAATTCACCGCCATGAGACAAACGTTGCGTTTGTTCCGCAGGAGGGCATATCCCGAGAGCGGACCTGGAAGACTCTACGAGTTTGTGATCTTTTTCTCAGTGCATCGATGGGAAGGCCACCTGCCACCTCAGACACCGATTGCAATATTCCCTGGACTTCGGTAGATCAGCCCGCCAGCAGAGAGAGCCAGCATGTGCCTTCGCAGGTCACTTCCGCCATTCTCAGAATATGCCATGTCTTTGAACGCATTTTAGTAGAAGTGTACTCTAGAAGAGCTGTCTCGCTCGACCTGGCAAGAAGTATCTCAAGACAACACCGCGAATGGACGGAAGCGTTACCTCGTATGCTTAAGATTGACGGTTTGGATGAACCGGTTGCAAATCAAAGCCTTGGATTTTCTCACCGACTTGGTCGTGGTCATGTGAAAATCGCATACTATTATTCGATCATCCTACGCTCTCGACCATTTCTCACTTTCAAGGTCTGCCACAATGCTGGAAACTTCAGCCATAGCGAGGCGCCATCTTCCTCTAATACGGACTTCAATACTTACGCAGATGCATGTGTTGACTCGGCGATCAAAGGTATATATGTGGCTCATGAGACCGTTTACGGACAAGAAATGCCTCAACGTCAGCCCTTCATGATCAGCAGTGTCTTTATTTCGGTGCTATGTCTTGGACTTGCCTACCTGGATGATTTTGATCAAAGAGGCTGGCCGTTAAGCACAGGGCTCAGACGAGGAATTGCAATCGTAAACCATTTTGGATGACTGAATCCCCAATCTGCTCGGTACTCGGAGATCGGCCAGCTCCTACAAGACGCCACGACAATTTATGTTCATGATAGGGACAGCAAATTTTTGCGGTCCAGTAGCCAGCAAATTCGAAGTGTCTTTGGTGACATACGACATTCTTCAGGAGGCCGATCCCCGGAACAGGCTTCGAATGTAGACATCCGTTCGAATATGCTCCGCCAACAGGGAATTGTCGAACCGATATCGCCGTCTTCTTTCAATGATAACACTTTCCAGGAGGATTCAATGAATACCACGACAGAAATATTAACTGGACAATTCTCTGGCAGTCACGACTATCATCTCCACGACAATTCACAAGTTACTGCTTTACCTCTGAACTTTTTTTCGGCAAATAGTCCCCTATTATCCGATGACTGGCCGACAGAGGATGATGTTCCGCTCTTTTCATTGACAAGCGAAGTCACATCAGAAATGTACATTTGGTAATATTGACAATCCACGAGGGAGGTGGTTGTTCCCTTCCTTAATTTCTCGCTTCAACATCAGAGCGGTGAAACTGCCACAAATTGCAGTGTGCGTGTCGTGAGATTGAAAACGCCTATGCTAATAATAGAAAAATGTAATGAAGAAGAGCTCCATTACCTACGATATAAAAGCAAAAGATCTTATATCTCTATTCGATAACGTAAATTACCTAAGCACTGGTTCATCGGTCGGTATTCTTTCTAATAAGTATCTACGATAGGTACCGTGATCGTGTTTACATGTAATCTGGTTCGATAAATAAACTTCATCCAAACAATACAATCGATATACCACATTGCACATTGCCACCACCCATTTAACCAACTAACTCTCTAAATTTAAATTCTACCTACTGCCCAGATACTCCCCCCCCCCCCCGCCAAAAAAATTCGCCACTTCTCTCCTCTCCCCTCCCTTTCCTTTCATAACCAACCAACCACTAATCCCCCACAACAACATTCACAACAACAAACCCCCCAACCCATTCAACCACGCCCAATCGTCTTCAAACCCCGCCGTCAGATTGCTCGCCCAATCAAAATCAATCGATGTCCATTCCATCTGTATCTGTCTCTGTCCCTGTGTATCTCCCGGTACTTCTCTCGCTTCTCCAGACGTACCGGGCTCTTCATATCGCGTGTTTGTATTATGATGATTTGATGCATCTCCGTTTCGCAATGCCTCATGATATTGATCTTGATCGTGATTGGGATTGGGATTACTTTCTAGTGAAAATGAAAATGGGGTACTTTGATTTTGAGTTTGAGTTTGATTTTGAGTATGCATTTCCGTTTGCATTCCCGTAACAACATCAACCGCAGCTTCAATATTCTCATAATACTCCCCCGGCGAAATCGTAATCACACCTACATACGGCACCACGATTTTCGCGTACGGACTTCCCATAGAGAAATCCTCACCCTCCCCCATCTTCCCCCCCTGTTTCCTCGGACAATTTCCCCTCCCCATCTGCAACAAACTTTCCAATCCCTGCACCGCTTGTTTCGCGACCAAATTCCCGAGTGAATCTCCCGCTTGCGCGAGCATTGCAATCGTACGCGCGAGCAACTCTCGATCGTGATGTTCATTTTCATTTTCATCTTCATCTCTTCCTCCATTCTCGCAGCTTCCGTAGCCGAGCATGCTGAGGATTAGGAGGGTGGAACAGACGAATGCTTGGTAGTCGATGAGTTTTACCATTTCGAATGCGCTGTGCATGTCCGAGCGCATGATGTGCCAGATTCGGAGGAGATTGCGTGCGGCGCTGAGACATTGTGTGCGGTGGTTTTCGAGGGTGGGATCGAGGATGGATTGTAGCATGAGGGGCATGTGGAGGAGGACGAGGAGGTGGTAGTACCAACATTGAGCGGCGATTTGTTCGAGGTATTCTGGGCGGGAGATTTTGTTTTGGGAGAGGGTGGTTTGGGGGTCCCAAAATGCGGGGGGGAGGGTTTGGGTTATGGTGTGGAGGGAGGTTTGGATTTTTTGGGTGCGGGGGATGAAGAGGTGGAGACCACGTTGATTTCGATCGATTACTTTGGAGGAAAGGATGATGAGGTTGTGGTGGAATTGGGCGGTAGGGTTTTCTTGATTGTGAGTGGTAGGAATGGTACGACCATCTGCAGCGTAAGGAAGTCCAAGAAGAAGTGAGAGATATACATCTCCTGCGCATAAGGAAAGCCAAGATTGTATTCTTTGATTTCTTTCGAGGGAATTTTTGTCGGTGGAAAGATGTGGACGGTGGAGATTGAGAAGTTGGCTATAGGATATTGCTTGGTGGGTTAAAATCCAGCATTTTCTGTTAAGACCGAGATTCACTGAGGAAGTCAGTATTATCGGATTTGAACGGTATATAAGTTTAGAGGGAATTATGAGAATTTCGGAGTTCGAGAAATGCTTAGAAGATAATATGGGTTTTGGAAGTCCATTCCTACAGTCTCGTATGAAGAAACTCGAACTAAGATTTCATCTGCCACATTTGAGATTTTCATTTACTCTCTATCTCCTAGTCTGCCTCTACGGCAGTGGCCCCAGGAGGGCCAGCGGAGTGTCACTTTCAGTTGAGTTTCATTTATGGGGGCAAGCTCCCAGACCCCCTCAGCTCGCAGCGCTCGAAAAACTTTTATCGCAGATTCATTCTCTGAGGGGAATTTAAAACCAAAACCTAGAGTCAATGAACTCTCAATGAGTCAATTTTCGGCCCAGAGCTCAATTCTCACGAATTCGAAACTTATCGAATCAGGTGTCTGGTCTGAAATTTCCTTCGGTGTCGAAATACAGATGATTACCAGAAATAGGAATCTAGAAGATCATGCTTCTCAATTACAAAAAAGAGAAATCGAAATTACACACTGTAGATCTTGGCCGCAAAAACAATCGTCTCAATACCCTCTTTTGTACTAGCATAATCTCCATCATTTACAACAAGTCTCTCTACCTTTTCAAAGTATTCCTGAAATAGTGTACCGGGTAAGGAAGGGAGTTGACGAATAATATACTGATGGATTCGAGTATCTAATTGTTGAAGACAAACTGCAATACAAAGTATTGCTATACCAATTATCGGTGGATCAGGTGATTCAAGAGCCCAGAGTATAAAATCTGGAAGTGTTGAACTCACGTCACCGGTTGATGATTGGAGCATGGAACCAAGTGGTCGCCTATTGGGATTTTAGTAACGAGGACTAGGTAATGGTTGGGAGTCAAAAATGCTTTTACCATGTATACCACCAGGAACATGTTGCGTTGACCACTATTTCACGGAGTGCTGGGGGAATAAGACCAGAAAGCAATAATTCGCGAGTCCGAATATGTTTCTTCGCAGTTGCTGGATTTTCAGCTTTGTCAAGCTTAGAAATGCGTTCAGGAATTAAATCAGAGCTATGGCTTCTCCACTACCCGGTATCTTAGTAGCAGAAGGGTTGAGAACAGTGAAAAGAAGTAAAGCTCACGATAGCGTTATGGAAAAGTGTCACGATGGGATCGATATCTTGAGAGGAAGTTTCATCAACTGAAGCTGGAGTCTCAAGTGACGATGGGGTAGATGCTGGTGTACGTTTCGCTCCCAATTCCAACGGAATAGACTCCGAACTGTGGTTCTCCTCCCGTACATCTCCCAAGTCAATATTCAAACTCTTATTCACCTCATCAGGAGCAGTACTACTACTCTTCCTACCATAATCTTCAATCACCGCTTCAAGTCTCTTAATCTTCTCTCTAAGACTCTCTCTCGTATAAACATTTCCCGCTTGGATCAGTTCTCTTCTCTGCTCAGTACATCTTCGAGCTTTCAATTCACAATTTCCACATATCTCGGATTCTTTCGTGAAAATACATCGAACCTTTCGTTTCCGACATTCGTAACAACTACGTGTTCCTTTTCGCATGCCCTTTTGAAGAGTGGGATGAGATTGAGGTAGCATTTTCACGTGAATTCCTTTGAGAGGGAGATTTCGGATGATTTTTTGTCCATGATGGATGAAAGAGATCGTTTTGATTATAAACAACAACGATACTTCTACCGTCCAATGTTGGCCGATTGATCAGGAGGAGTATGAATGCATACTAGCCTTGTCGGGACTAGATCACAAGCACAAAATTGAACTTCGTCCGAACTTTCGTCCGAAGCATTGTTTAATTGGTTCAGACTCTTACATAAGCGTCCGAGCTGAAGACTCAATGTATTTACTTCTCAGACATATCGTCCGCATTTTCGTCCGCTTTTGATTGTTAATTTGTAATTTCTGTGTTTGTAAGAGTACTAGTTGTACGAAAAGAAATATAATGACGCAAATGATTCCATTGTGTTCTTGCCTGTTATTGGTACATATATATATGTATACCTAACGACGTACCTCTCTCAGTTTTCGTTGTATTCTCCCTCATCTACCTTTACAGACTTCTATACTTGTTATCAGAGACGAGCAGTGACTTTCGTGCTCAAACACATTGGTTGATTTTCTTACATTACTACTCCAATCAACATCATGGGCTGGTTCACCTCCTTTCTCTATTCTCAATTATTCGTCACTCTCCCTATCCCAACCCGCAACTTCACGGATGAAACCATAATCATAACCGGATCCAACACCGGTCTCGGTCTCGAAGCCGCTCGTCACGTTTCCCGTCTCAATGCCCATCTCCTAATCCTCGCCGTGCGTTCTCAATCCAAAGGTCAAGCCGCAAAAGCATCCATCCTAGCCAGCACCGGTCGTCCAGAGTCCAGCATCGAAGTTTGGTCTCTGGATATGCAATCTCCATCATCTATTCAAGCTTTCTGTGCAAAAGTCGGCAAACTCCCCAGAGTTGATGCCGTACTTGCTAATGCGGGGATTATGACGAAATATTTCAAGCTGGTGGAAGGATATGAAAGTACGGTTATGACGAATGTAATTGGGACTTTTCAGTTAGTCCTGGGGATACTACCAAAATTGAAAGAGTCAGCGAAGGAATTCGATATCCAGCCTAGAATTTCGATTGTGGCTTCGGATTTGCACTGTATCACCAAATTCAAAGAAAGGAAGGAGAAGGATATTTTCAAGGCGTTGAACAACGAAAAAACATCAGAACTAGATTTGGAAAGGTGGGCCATCTTTCCTCTCTATCGTCACTCAAAGATCCCCATTCTAAAACCCATGTACTAACAATAACCAGATACTCCACCACGAAACTTCTCCAAGTGCTCGGAGTCCGCGAGCTAGCTCAGAAACTTACTCGTGACCCGGAATCCGTATCTCCATCTGTCATTGTCAATTGCATGACGCCCGGAGCGTGCAAATCCGATTTCTTTCGCGAAAATACGGGATTTGATAGAGTCAAAAATTGGCTCTTGAGTACTCTGCTTGCACGTAGCACCGAAGTGGGAAGTCGCGCTCTGGTGGCGGGAATTGCGGCAGGGGAAGAAAGTCATGGGGAATATATGGCTGATTGTTTGATCGCTGAGTAGGCATCTCTTTTTCTGCTATATTTTTGGACAGTGATGAGGGAGTGTGGAAGTGGATGATAGATTGTTCTGAAAGGAAACATTGCTAATTTCAAGTATAGGACCGGTCCACTTGTAAGAGGGCCCGAGGGTATGAAGTTGCAGAAGAAGGTATGGGAACAATTAGTGACGGAGCTGGAGAAAATCCAACCTGGTGTTTCCTCAATCATTTAGTGGTAAGATTCTCGAGGCAACAAGAAGGTGGAGAATTAGAAGGAAGAGTTTGTTTGTAGAGTTTTGGAGTTCTGTTAGAGTGTCGAGTGGCGCGGATAGATTTGCGGCTATATTGAGAATACACATAGTATGATTATAATCCTACTCGTCTTATAACTGTTAATTATCTATCCTTGAAATTTCGAGAATGGATAAAAACATACCTAATCAAATCAGACTTGAAAGAAGTTTCGCCAAGTGGCGCATGATGAAATTTATGAACGAAGTTATCATTACCCAACAACTAGGTACTTGAAAACAGGGCAACAGTCACCCCCCTTCACACTGCCATATCCCCATAACCCTCCATCAACAATTTCCATTCATCACACCAGTCTCACGAAGCCCATGATATCACCCAAAATGCAAATTCAACCCTCTTTTTCTTTGCCATAAAAATACATTCATTCTTTCAAATGTACCCAAAATTATTGCATACCCATTCATTTTCTAAGAACAAAGTACTCATGCGAAACGTTCAACATAGAATATACAACTCGCACTATTACCCAACCAAACGCCTTATATTTCGTCTTTTGTCTATTTTCAACCCGTTCAATCCAAATGTATCTTTTCATGCTGTTTTTCTGAAAACCCCCAAGAGCCCATCATCCTCGTTGGTTTTTTTGAGGAAATTATTGGTGTTCCTTGTTTTGTATCTTGTTGAAGCTCATGTATTGAGTGAATGTGCAAGACCATCTGCTGTTTTTGCAGAGGCAATTTCGGGACTCTTTCATTCCTGTCTGTGAGCGGTCATTAACTCTCTCTCCTTCTTTTCACATCTGCCAGTGACCGATTGAATCAATTTCCCATTCATCTCCCCATCACAATCTATCACCTCCATCCACATTCACCCGCCTAATCATTCGCTCCATACTCTCCGTTTCATCTTCCCTCTCCTTCTCTTTTCCTGAACTCTCATCACTAGTTCCCTCGCCACCACTTCTCTCAACACTTACCTCATACTCCCTCGTTATTCCTGGTTGTTTATCGATTGTATCCATCTGATGATCCATCGTTGTAAGAGTCAACGAATTCTTCTTCCTCAATTTTCCAATTCTTCGCTTTTTAGATTCAATATTTGCTTCCGGATCAGGTGTTTGACGAGGATCGTCGGATATGAGGTGAGAAGAGAAGAGACCTGGAAAGTATTGACGGATGAAAGGACGGAGAACGACAAGGGTATTGCAGAAAATTCCAATGTTTATTTCTACGGATCTGGTGGTGCAGTCTGAGTTAGTCTTTGAAATTTTGAGTGCGGGAAGTCAGAGATTAGATGCATGAAGATCAAGGAAAAATGGCAAAAGAAAGAGGAGTACGAACGACCATACTGCTGCTCTGCCTTGAGTGTATAGTACATCTGGATTATTTTGAAGAGCCATAATGTATGTTATGCGGACTATACAGATGATTATCACACTGTCAATAATTATGTTAGCAAAGTCTTCCAGATACAAGTGAGACGGCTTTCTCAAATAGTGTTTGAGCAGCAAGGAGAGGGGTTGAACACACAAAATACCCGTTGAAAAAATTGATGCAACCGCCAATTTTTGCCTCAACGGCAGCTTCAAGAGATATAGCATATGTGATGGGAGTATAAGAATGGCAGCATCTGTCAGAATGTTGAAGATTGCTTGCCAGAGCCCACATTGGTTGAGACATGCACCATTCGCGGGATTGGTGGGCACGCATGGAATAGCTATTATTAGAGATATGGCGAGAGTGTAGATTATGATTATCCCGGCGACGACGCAACAACCTGTACGGAAATAGATGCTTGGATTGAGTCGATAAAGGCTTGGGAGTACTTAGTTCAAGGACTTTTTTGACACTGCCAATGGGAGGAACTTACAGGATGAGAATGGACAATTTGGTGAATGCGGGGGCCCAAGCGTAGGTAGATACCATAGGGCTGAGTTTCTAGGTCGGTGAGTAAAAGATGGGGTATGAATTGAAAGGCATTGACTAACTGTAAGATAGAGGGCCATTTGTTCAGCGGTGACTTCCCATAGATGTCTACCGAATCCAAATCTCATACCTATCCATCAATCAGCATGGTTATTCTATTCTTCGCGAATTGATCCATCACCTACAATCGATAGTGATAGCAAAATATGCTATTGAACATGCATATGAAAGAATAATCGCAACTATATCACAGATCAGCATCCTCTTCGACCGCCGTAGACAAAAAACCTACCATCATCCAAACCAAAAGATTTCATGATACTAATCCTTGTGTACAATCGGATACCAAGAGTACTACTAGCCAGACCAAGTGTAATGGTGTATGCAATAATGAAAGCCACCTGGGTACTTGACAGAGCAGATGGATTTAAATCTGGTGTTACACCAGGGGGCGCTGGAAGGAGTCCGGTTGACATATTTACTCTTCGTGCTTTGAATCTTGCTTGAAAGAATGTTCATACTCGATGAAGAGTAGATTCAAAGGAGGACACATTCTTGACTATATGTCTGAACAAGAAACGACTTCGATTCTTGATCATCATTGTCGGCATCCCGAATTCGACCAACCTTTTCCAATAGATGACAGTCTAATGATCGGATGCAGAGTATACTGCTTTTTCCAAAAAAGAATTTGAGAGTTTGTGAGACCCGGGACTCGGCAGGCGAATAACGACATGGGTTGTAGCTGAAAGTGTATGTATGATTGGCCCGATGTGGAGCTGATATTTCTCTCCTGCATAACCTAGGTTGTCGGGAAATGAATTTACGAATTTTACCATATCAATAGTCATTGATACTAGTTGAATGAAAACGAGCTGAATTGCAAGAAGAAAAAGAACAATGAATTCTAGACTACGAGTATGCAACGGCCAGATAGATCATGATCAAAAGAAGTCAGACCCCACACGCTCGTCGTCATATAAAGAAAAGAAAAGGTCACGACTCACAACGCTCCTCCATACGGAAGAGAGCCTACTGTCAACGTGCATGCTTACGTGCATACATTCTCCACCTTCCCTTTTCGGACGACATATTTCGAGGTCCAAGTTATCGCTGCATGATTGATTTTTCCCTCTTTTTTGCTTTTCTTCGTTGCAAACTACCAACGAGGTTGTTCGTTGGATAAAACCGTCACCAATAGCAACAATGTCGACCTTGTACATCACAGCCATTGCAGCAGGTGCATTCTTTCACAATATCGTAAGGAACAGGGAATTCGATCGTTATCCGTTCTCCATTCTTTTTGCGGTCATAGCATCC